TGCTAGAGGGGTCTGAAAAGTTGCTAAAAATAGCAACAAATGCGCTAAGTTGTCATCCCTGCTCTTTGCATAATTTCTTTCAAATGGTTTGCTGCTGCCTGTTTGGACCTTTCTGAACATGTGCAGCAAATGGACTGATCCAATATGGTGGACATAGGGGGTGGGTGGGTTGTTTTTGGGCTGAGACACATTTAATATTATAAGTGTTCTGATGGCATTTTAGTGAAAGGATTTTTATCAAAAACATAATTAATGTGCAAAAATAAGCAATAGTTGTATTAACCATACATGCAAACAGAGTTTTATAGGGCCCCCCAGGAAGTTGAGGCCGTAGGCAACCGCCTAGTTTTACCTAATCGTAATCCGCTCCTGGTTTTAACAAATATTTAACATCTTTAATTGTTTAATATAACAAAGCTTCAGGCTGATTCTGAAGGAAAAATCAATGCAGCATCACTGATGGTGTCCATGAGGTCATCAGGGACGTGTCAGGAAACAGAAAACAGTTGGAGTCCCGGCTGTGGGCGGAGCCAGGGCAATGCAGTGATGTCACAGGTTGAGGCTGCAGGTTGTTCAGTGAGACGGGCTGCAGACAGACTCCTGTTGTCCTGCAGAGACAACGGGCGTCTCTGAGCGGCGGCTGCGTGATGCATTAACTCTGTGTTCTGCACTAATGTGAAGCTCTGTGCCTCTTTACTAACGGAGCTCCATGTTTTGTCCCCCACCCTGTCGCCCCCCCCATGGTGTCTGTTCTCTTTATTTTCTCTTTTTTTGTGTTTATTTGAACCCCTTCAGGCGAAGAAGCCTCTTTGCCTTCCTTACCCTCCTGCCATCCTGCCTTTGGACTGACTATCTTTTGGCTTTTTATATTAATCCGTGGTAAGTAAGCGCCTGCTGCACTTTAGGGGCATGTTTACGTAGCCGCCACAGTCCGCACCGCTCAGCAGAAACACTTCTAATTCAGACGTAGAGAAGTAGATCCAGAGCTGACAGATTCATCTGGTTGTTCTCTGCATTTTTCCACAAACATCTTTAAAAATGCATTTTCCTTCAAGACTCCGCCTCTTTGTTTCTATAAAAAAACTGAGAAAAAAGTAAAAATCACCATGGTGGTTTCCCTCAACCCGCTGGTTTCGTCACATTAATATCTTGACACTTTGGCCACAAACTTTGGTTTTTATGCTGATCATCCAGCTGGGGGGAAATTTAGTGTTTTAAGTTTAAGAAATAGAAAGAAAACCATTGTTTTATATAAACGTGATACTACAGCTTTTGACCATTTACAACACATTTTTAAAGCAAATAGTTTTAACCTTTTGCTAAATTTTTCACATTAGAAGCTTCTAAAACAGCATTATAATTTTAATATTTAAAATGTGAATCCAACCAAAGGCAAAAACATTAAAAACTGGAATGGAAAATAAAAAGTGACGCAAAAAAACATATTTGGCAGAAATCCTGCATGGGATCCTTTTTTTTTTTTTTTTGCAGATGTCTGCAGTGATTTATTAAGCCTAAATGAAATAAGCAAAGAAGAGGAACATCAGAAACTAGATTTAAATTTTATCAGATAAAAATTCCTGCAGGGATGTGTTCCTGTCGACAAAGCGAATGCGTTTCTGACTGTTTGTGGATAAACAGACGACACCAGAATCTTTATTTTAGTTTATATTGTATCCCTCTGTCTGAAAGTCCTGGATCGACAGAAAGACTCCAGATTTCTTGTTGAACTGTGGCGGATCTCACTAACATGGCGGATGTACGACAGCCTGCACTGGAAAAACAATCTAGAAATTAGTAAAAGTTCCTAAATTAATAGTATTTAACCTTAATTTGAGTAGGTAAATGAGAATGGAATGAGTATTTCTACTCCTAAAATAAGATAATTAGATAAAATGCACTTGAAATAAGACAATGTAGTTGTGTTTTCTTATTTTAAGTGTAAATCGTCTTCCTCCATTGGAAAAATGTCTCTTTTACCTCCTCAATCCAAGAACAAATGGACTTACTTAAAGAAAAAATGACTTATCTAGATGTAGAATTTTTCCAGTGATGATGCTAACTGTGCTTTGCTGCATGCCGTCAGTCACTCTGTAGCACTGTAGTCTCAGGTTCTGTAGATCTGCATGTTCCTGGTTAGCTGCTTCACATTTCCTCCCAACGATCAGAACAGATTGTGGGAAAAATCTGAGTCCCTTCAAAGCAAAAAAAGCTTGAAGAGTTTAGAGTAAAATCCAGAGTGAGGAAACTGGTGGAGCTCAGCTGTCTGCATGAAGTTGGTCTGATGTTTGGGTTCCTCTCTGGAGGCTGTGGCTGAAGAAACCGTATTTTTTCCTGTAACGTGAGACCGAAGAAGAAGTGAAAGGACTATTTTATTTTCTGCAGACTGGAAATAATTGAAATAAAAAAAACCAATATTTTTTCGTTCTGTAAATAGTTAAAACCAACCAAATCTAGCTTTTCTGGATGATTTTTTGTTTGTTTTTGTTGCATAAAAAAGCAAACGGATGGAAACTTTCAGCCACAGACTTCCAGGCTGGTTATTTGGGTTTAAGAGCCCTCTGAGTCTGAGAAATGTGCTGCAGCACTGTGAGTTTTTATTATTCTTCCATCTGAATACCGTATTTCCTCAGCCGAAGCCTGATGGTAGCAGAACCTTCTGGTACCGTTCTCTAGTCTGCTGCCGACCCAAAGAGATGCTGGAAGAATCAGAAAAGAACATAAAATGATGAGCCCTGTTCATTCTACACAAGATTTTATACACTTTCTTAGGATTATTAATTAAATCTCAAATAAAATTATTGTAAATTTATATTTTTGAAAGTTATGATTTTGTAAAATATTATTTTACTTTGAGGAAATACGGTATTTAAGGCGTTTCTTCAGATGCTGTGACCCAATAGGTTCGTCTGCGCAGCTCCGCCTCCTGATTGGACCAGAACCATCTCACTGCTCATTAAATCATCATTTGTTCTGTAAAAAAAAAAAATCTGATGAATTATTCTTTACAAAAGTTGATGTGACTGCGAGCGACCAGCAGGGGGCAGTACTGCTGCACAGACGGTCCTGGGCTGAAGCCGAGGATGATGAAGGTGAAGATCACGCTGTTTGTATTTTATAGGAGCAAGACGGCTTTAAAGAAACGGAAGCTAACAAGGTAACAGATCCCAGCGGCTTCTGGTCCGTTTGTGTTCGTTCCTCGTCGGCCGCAGAACCGAACCAGAACCGAACCAGAACCTTCAACCAACTGCTTCACCATCACACCCACACAGCTCCTCCCATCAGAGGCTCCAGTCGGAGTTCCTGACTTCATTTCTCACTGATCCGTTCATCCATCTGTCTGCTCCTGCGTTACCAACAGCAACAAGACCAGAACCCGTTCTGACAGGTCCAGAACCGGAATCCCTGGAAGGTTAAAGGAGGTTCAGAGGATCTGGAATGTCTGATCCTTCAGAACCATCAGTTGATGGTATAAACCTTTGGACCGGGCTTCTGGGGAACAGTTAGTGGTTCTGGTTTGCTTTTAGAACAGGACCGGATGAGGTCTAGATCAGCTTTAGGCGTTAGAACAGCGAGACGGCACAACTGGTTCTGTTGGAGCCGCGGAGCAGGAATGGTTCTGATAGTAGAACACGTTTCTACTTGGATGTCCTGAACCGAACAAAGCTGAGGTTCTGCTCTGCTGATTGGTCGGGGCCAATGTCCGGAAAGTCCACTTCCTGAAGCTGGAGATCCGGAACCAGAACGTTCAGCTGATGGTCGTCTGCCCGGCAGCGAGCTCTTTTCAGGCCCAACCCCGGTTCTAATCGTCTCAGACGTGAGCAGAACCGTCCTTCTTCTAGAACCACTGGTGCTGATCAGCCTGTGGTTCTGCTGACCTGTCATGTTAGGATCCGTTTAGTTTTTAGGACGTCAAACTGTCGGTTTGGCCGAACCTCTGGTTCCCAGTAAAGAGAACCCAGAGCCGGTTCTGACCCTGCAGATATAGTCCAGAACTTTCCTGCTGGCTCAGTGCGTCTCCATGAACATCAGTAGATCCCTGCATCACCTTTAGGTTCTGCTGCTGCTCCCTGATCCACATCCCTCCCAGATGTTTGTTGTCGTCTCCCCTCCCTGCAGCTGGATGATGATGATGATGAAGGTTTGTGTTTCAGCCCTGTGCAGCTGGACGACTTTGAGGCCTTCTACAAGGACATGAGCAAGGACTCGGCCTACAAGTTCTCTCTGCAGTTTGAGGTACGTCAGGAGGAGCTTAGAAACAGGGCGGTTCTGTTCGGACCAGAAGCAGCTCTCAGTCTGTGGGATGTTTTCCAGGAGCTGAAGAGCGTCGGCCTGGACGTGTCCCACGACGCTGCAGACCTGCCCATCAACCGGCCCAAGAACCGATACACCAACATCCTGCCCTGTGAGTCCAGAACCGGTTCCCGCTCAAATCTCACACCATCTGTTACTCCTTAACTGACCTAACCTCTGATCTCAGATGACTTCAGCCGAGTGAAGCTGATCTCCATGCACAACGACGAAGGGGCCGACTACATCAACGCCAACTACATCCCAGTGAGTATCCGTTCAGAACCAGAACCCCCACAGCCTCGGTCCAAATACGGACCCATGGTGCTATTGGTTAATAAGGACTGATCCAGATCAAGGTTTTAAACTAATGTTCAAAAAAGGAAAAGTCCGGTCAGCAAGGAATAATCAATGGATCATTATTTATACCTAAAACTAATACATTTGTGGTGATTTAAAGATAATAAATAATATTTTTTGTCGC